GTCAAGTCCATCATAGTTGGCGATTGGAGACCAACAGCCACACTAACGACTAGTAAATATAATATTTATCAACAAATATCATATTTAGTCACAAATATTTTATTTATCTAAAAATCTAACCTCAATATGACCATATATACCTAAAAATACTTTATTTACTTAAAAATATGATGTCAACGTCGACGGCCGGTAAATATTATCTTTCTCAAAAATCTAACGTTTGACGCCGACAGTCAATAAATATAGTATTTATTAATATATATTATATTTATCTAAAAATATTATATTTATCCGAAATACAAAATTTTAAAAATAAACTAAAACCAAAAATTAATATGAAATATAGATTCTACATAAATACTGCATTTAATACCAACCATTGAAAAATCTAGATAAATCCTATATTTAAATACGGTATTTTTTTTTACAAATTAACTAATATTACAAATTAATCCCAAAAATCACCAAATCAGTACCAAATTAACTAAGCCTAACTCTGATCCCCAAATTAGCCCTAAATTTTGATTCCCAAACCCTTACCATGCCCAAATAGCCCCAAACTTCCACCCGCAGCCCACACCCCTTGCCCGCGGCATTGTTCCCGATAACAACCAAACCACCAACCAACAAAAAACAAGCTACAGAGATAGATAGAGCACCACTGCCATCTCGGAATCAGAACGTGGTCTCGGTCACCTGCGGGAGTGGTTCACGATAGCGGCGCCGTTTTCACTGGCCGGAATCGGGTTCGCTACGGCAAGAACTGGACAGACGATGAGGAGACAAACTTTGACGAGGAGATGGAAGGACGACAAGATCCGGCTATTGTTGTCTAAAATGGTGACCGTAAATCTGCAGACGGCGTCGCGAGGTCAGAGAGAGTGAGATCAGAGTCGATTTCGTCGGTCCTCCGTTGAGGATCTGTCGTCACGTTGTCGTCGGCATGAGATTTCATCGCCGCCACAGGAGCCGTCACCAGATAGAGAAAGCACGACGAAAGGAGAGGCAGAAATCGAGAAGATAGAGAGAGGGGATAACGATGAGGGAGAGAGGGAGATGAATGACAGATAGGGGGTTGGGCGGCAGAGAGAGGAGAGAGAAAGGGAAACAGAGTATGGGAGAGAGGAAGCTGTAACTTTGAGTTGAGCTAAACGGACTGGTCTTGAGTCTGTTTAGTCTGTTTGTAGGAGATTCATACTATCAGGTTCATAGTTTATTACAATATTTTTTATTACACATAAATTAAAAATAATACTAATTTTATAATTCTAATCTATTAATTAAACATTAATTTATACCTTAAATTATTTTTAAGTTAGGCCAGATTGGGCCGAAATATTTTTATTTTATTTTATTTTTATATTTTTTTTGTAAAAGTCAAGATCGACTCGGCCTGACTTTAAGATTGTGTTCGGCAGCCTTAAAAACTCAAAAAAAAAGTAACTTGAGTTTTAATTTTATTCAAATTCATGTTCTTTTAAGTTTGATCTTGAGTTTGAACTCAAGTTTAGGACTAAAACTCGAGTTTAAGTTTCTCCTTCAACTCGAGTTCAGAAACTTGAATTTAAATTAATAAACAATATTTTTTCTATTCTTAAAAATGCTATAACTTTTTCGTATTAATCTTGATTGAGATGATTTTTTTTATGCGTTGACAACGAAAAGACGAATAAAATCTCACTCATATACCCTATTAAAATTTTTCATCACCATTGAGTTTTTATTAAAATATTATCTAAATACAAATTCAAGTTTTGACTCACTCAAACACAAACTCAAAAAGATTTTTATCACAAACCTTAACTCAAATGTACACAACCAAACACAAACTCAAGTTACAACTTCAACTCAAATTATAACTCAAATTCAACTCAAAAACTACACTCAAATCACACTCTAAAAAAACATGCCCTAAATCTGTCAAGTTGGATTGATTTTTTCTTTTTAAAGTTGAGTCGGCCCGACCTAAATATTCCCTTTAACCGTTGCCTTAGTCAGCCTAAATTTTTAATTTTAAAAGGGTACATTCGAAAAGAAATAATTTATTTTAGAATCAAAATTCAAGATATGCAATAAATTATCAATATTTAAAAAAAATGATATTTTCTTCAATAGCATAATTAAATATGCTATATGATGCATTTTCTTTTTAATCTTCTATATGATTTTACCAACTTAACTTTTTTAATATGCTCTACATCATGTCTTCACGCACACACTCTCTCTCACACATAAGCGAACACACAAATATTAAACCAAAATACACGTTATGATTGAAATTGCATTTCAATTCATTTGATTTATTATTTACTTTTAGTTGTTTATTTTAAATGTTCCTTGTTAGCTTTCTGTTTTCGTAATCAAACTCTCACGAAAATAACTTTTATCAAGTGCACGACTACCTAAACAGTTGCTTTCATAATCAGTTTTTTTTTTTTTTTTCTTAATTATGGTCCTCATAACGGTTTTTTTGTAATTTCCTGGCCGAAATAATTTCTCTTAAATATGTATCTACCTAAAAATTATTTTCGTAACCCCTCTGATACTTTTTTTTTCCACACGCATAGCTAATTCAATGTCTAATTTGTCCCAATAAAAAGCTTTTCTTCCTTTCATATGTGTTTTATTTAAATTTTTTTTTACTAAATTAAACTCTTAAGAGAATAATAAATCAAAGAAAGAACCTAAAAGGCTAAAGAACTTTTATATCTTCATATCTAAAAAATGTAACAAACTGATTATGCATGCGAATACTAATATATATATAAATATTATCTTATGATTGAAAAAATAATATCCATATAGATAAATATTTAAATAACCATATAAATCACGCTCATAATATATTTTATACATATAAATTTATAGATGAAACCCACCAAATCCAATTTCTCGCGCACAAAAACTTCAAAATAGCAAAAGGAAAGAAATAAAAAACCAACTTAAACTAGGTCAAGTGGTTGAGTGTTTCAATGTGTGCGTCGAATCTTGATGGTTAATTCATTTTTTACACAGATAGAAGACATATGCCCCACACCTTAGCTAAAAAATGTAAAAAATACAAAATCCACCAAATCAAAGAAAATAAAACAAAACATTTCATTTAAAAAAAAGAAAGAAAAAGATAAAAGGATGAACCTTGTGCCTGGAAAGGAGATTATACTCTGGCTGCTCTACAATAGGCCCAACAAGATCGAGCCTCTCGGCAATCCCCCAGGCCTCAGTGATCTGCTGGGCTGACCACTCACTGGTCCCCCAATAGAAAGCCCATCCATTGTCAATCACATGGTTCATCGCCCTCACCGTCTCCTCGATCGGCGTCAAGCAGTCTGGGCGGTGGCAATAAACAACATCAACATACTCCATGTCGAGCCTCTTAAGCGAGGCCTTGGTCCCCTCGATTATATGCTTCCTAGAGAGGCCCTTGTCGTTTGGGCCTGTCCCGCCCCAGAAGATTTTGGTGGAGACGACGATGTCGGAGCGGCGCCAGCCCAGCTCCCGGATGGCCCGGCCCATAATCTCCTCGGCCCGGCCGTCGGAGTAGACCTCAGCATTGTCGAAGAAGTTGACGCCGTGGTCGCGGCAGCACTGGAGGAGGGATTTCGCCGCTTTGACATCCAGTTGGTTGCCGAAGCTCACCCATGCTCCGTACGAGAGTTGGCTCACTCTAAGACCTGATCTTCCCAGGTTCTTGTACTGCATTGTTGCCATTTTTAGAGAGAGAGAGAGAGAGAGAGAAGTACTCGAGATCAAAGGGAAGGGGAGTTGGAAGCGAGTTTCATCAATGAGGTGCGTTGTTTGAATTGAGGCTTATAAAGGAGGAGTAGGAATGTGGGATGGATTCTAAGCCATTGGATGCGTTGGTGGGGACCACATAGAAAACCATTATGGACATGACATCCTGCTATATTTTTCTTGCTAGATTTTTTTATGGAGATTTTTATGGTGGGACTAAAAAATAATGGACAAATTACTAATTTGTCCCCTCAACTATTGACTTTGTAACAAAATGACCTTTAATTTTAAAAATAACAAATTCTCTTCCTGATTAATTATTCGTTAGCACGCATTTATCTTTTCTGTCATCTCGGTTAAATTTTAAACGTTAAGTGACACATAAAAGTTGTTGAGGCATTTAATTTTTATTCTATTATAAAAGGACAATTTTGTCCATCCAAGCCAAGTCATTGACCGGTCAAACCCACCATTGACCGGGATGGGGTCGGCGGGATGCATGCCAAGTCTAAGATCTCGAAGTGAAGAACATTCATCCGGGGTCGATTTCTCCAAATGATGTCTGGTTCGCTAGAAAAGGTCCAAAATTCAAAATAGACGGAGGCGGTACATCGGAGCTCCTTCGACACCGATCGAGGAAGCAATCATGTGGGTTTTGCTCCACTCAGCGAGAAGAATATAATGGTACAACTTATTGGTGAAATAGAGGTCAGATGGCGTTGGAATTCAGTGCAGAGAAAAAATGGACCAAAACTTTAACTGACGCTTACAGGTGAACGGCGGCGAGATTCCGGTTCCAAAGGTTGTTGTTGGCGAGCTCCATAGGTGGTTGGCGTTTGGCGACGGCCGGAGGCCGGATAGTGGCGGCTCAAAGTGGCAGTGGAGCTTGGTTTTTCACGCGCAAAGAATGAAGAAAGAGAGAAAAAGAATGAGAGAGAGAGGGGAAGCGAGAATGAGAGGGAGAGAGGGGGAGAGGGAAATCATCATATGTTCATAGTGGTCTTGGGTTGGGCTTGGATGGGCAAAATCGTTATTTCATTGAAGAATAAAAATTAAATGTCTCAGCGACTTTCACGTGTCACTTAACGTTCAAAATTTAACCGAGATGACAGAAAAGGGAGACACATGCTAACGGCTAATTTTTCAGGGGGAAAATTTGTTATTTTTAAAATTTAGAGGGTATTTTGTTACAAGACTAATAGTTCAGGGGGGGACAAGTGTAATTTGTCCAAAAATAAATATTGGAGCTGTAAGACATGTGAGAGAAACTTTTTCCCCCATTTATTTTTAAGAGCCACTATGGTGAGACCTTTTAAAAAATTCACTTATAAAACACCTTATTTTGATCATTGGATTAAGTTTTGAATAGTTAGATCTACACCGATTCATATTAAAAATTTACAGCGTGCCACACTATAACGCCCTCTAGAATTAAATATATTTAATTATGTTAAATTGTGAATTATTAGTTACCTAATTGATTTTCACAATTAATCAAGAAACTTTAAATTATTTTCAATATTTATGATTTCACCCCAAAAGTTTTTGAAAATACACTTAAATTGTAATGCATTTTCCTTTTTCCATTTTTCCCTTTTTCCTTTTTTTCTTTTTTTTTCCTTTTCTTTTCTTTTTCCTTTTTTTTCATTTCTTCCTTTTCATTTCCTTCTTTTCCCTTCCATAGCTTTCCTCTCTCTCTCTCACTTTCTTTCTTTCTTTTCTTTTCTCTCTCTCTCCTTGGTTTCTCTCACGATAGAACAACTCCCTCTCTCTCTATCTTCCTTCACCACCGGCCACCACTCCCTCCTTCTCTCCGGCCACCTCTCTCTCTTTGGGTCTCTCTCTTTCTCTCTCTCTCTCTCTGTGGTTGGTTCTGCCGAAACATAAAACAAAAAGAAAAAAAAACATAGAAAATGGGAGAAATAGAGGGAATAAGACTCCATCAACTAATTTGAGATAAAACCCCTTGAAACTCATTCTTTGATTTGAATTTTAAACTTGAGAAAGTTTAATTTTGGTTGGATTTGAATAATTTTGAGTTAGGGTTTGGATTTGAACAATTGTTGTTAGAATTGAATTAAATTTGGGAGTTTTCAGTTATTGGACTTATTGAATTAATTGGAAACTGGTTTTGATAATTTCTAGAGAATTTATTTTAAAATTAAACTTGAGTTTCAGGTTTGGCATTTTTCCTATTTATGCCGGCATGCTGCCGAAATTTATTTAAAAACTTGTTTTTAAGCTGAAATTAAATAGGAAACCAAACCCATGAATTGAATTAAAATTTTTAAAGAACCCCCAAACTGAATTATAAAATTGTTTGTGAAACTTGGATTTGAGTCAAGGCACACTAATAGGAAACAATTAAACATTCTTTTTAGGAATGAGAAATATATCCTAAGATATTATTTTTGTGATAAAGCTAGTGGAGAAGATCGAGTATTAAAGCTGTAAGGAAAGCGGAGGGTAGGAGAACGAAAGGCTAGCCTAGGTTTGATATTCAAGAGGTAGGATATTCTTGTCTATATCCTTGTTAGCCTCACTTTAAATGGTTTTGGCCATTGAAAATGTTTTAGAACAAAACATGTTGAAAGAAAATTGTTTTAAAGGAAATAGCATGAATAATGCTATTAAGTTTTCCAATGATTTTGGAAATGAGATTTTAAAGAATATCATTTCTTAAAATGAAATATTTTAAGAAATGATATAACGCATGGTAGCCTCAGAGATCGGGATATAGGAATCGTATCCTTAGGGGCAGGTCCTGAAACCCGTATGGATCTACTTCTTGCTCAGTGGTGTTATGGCTTTACATATTTTCATTATACAGATGTTTTTCTACTACTACGTGAGTATTTCCTTTTTCTAAAAAGGATGATCGGTTCTGGGTATATGTCTTCAGACCGTGAGTACCTTTATTTATAATGTTTTATAAAATTATATCATACTGAACCTTCCGCTCACTTTTTCTTGTTTTAAATGTATTAAACCCCTCCAGGCGACGCGAGGAGTAGTGCAGAGTAAGTAACTACTACCAGTGAGGTGAACCCGTCTTCGAGAGGTGAATAATTGTATTTTTCTTTCCCTTTATTTCAAGACATGTACTAAATTATGGATTGCAAACTCAAATATTGCTGACTGTGGTTGATGTCTACATTTAATGTTGTTTATATTCATGTATGTTAAACCTGTGGAAATTTTTGACATGATACCAGGGGTGAGGATTTGAACTGGTTTGGTTGGAAATTCCACCACTCTTCTTGAAACTGAATTTCTCATAATTAGCGGGGCTTGTTTAGAAATACCTGAATGTTTTGGATTTGAAATTTAAATTTTTACACTGTTATTTGTTAATCACTTTTTTAAATAGGTTTAAATTTCTGAACAAGCATTCACGTCACTAACCCTTGTTTGGGGGCGTGACACGTACAGAACTGCTCCCTCTACATATTTGACAGCTAAAAAAGTAATTCAACAGTCAAAATAAAGTGTTTCACTAGTGAATTTTTTGTGTTTCACTAGTGAATTTTTTTAAGGGATCTCACCATAAAGAAAATCATATTTTTGTTTGATATGTTTTTGATTCGATACAATCACCGTTAGAAACATACGCGGTATTATAGAAAGACACTTTTTTTTCATACAAGGAGAAAATAAGAAAAATTAGGTAGATAAATGGTTTTGGCCACCACTTAATTAATTGGCCGAATTTTTCCTTATTTTTTTTTAGCTAAATCACTTTTTTTTTTGGTTGCTTTAAAGCGATTAATCACTGCTATACTATCAATTATGATTTATGAACGATAGACCAATAAATTTTTATTAAGCACTAACTGATGTAAGTAATAGCTAACCAAATTAATCAATAATAAACTAGAAATTACTCAATTTCTATTTCAGGAAATAGTCATTTTTCTAATTTAGCAAAACATAGGTCCATTTACAAAAGAAAATAAGAGTAAAATTAGAACACAACATATTGAAATTTTAAAATATGCTATCTATTTTTACTGTTTCAATTATGTTATTAACCAAAAACGATTTAACAAATTAGTCTAGGTTGACTTCACATCTCTACCCCAAATTATGAAACACGACTTTTTTCTTACATTGGTTTTCGTAAACAGTAAACTCGTGTCACTCTGAGATTATTTATCTATCTATCTATATCTATATTTATATCTTTATCAATATCTATCTATATCTATATCTATTTATGTATACTTTATATAAAAGTGTGAAGATGTGTTGTGGCCCTACTCCCATAGTTTTCCACTTCTTGTTCCCTCCTTTTTTTTCTTCTTTCTCCTATTTTTTGCTTTATTTTCAATTATTCATAGCTATCGGTGTATACCATATATAAAAGTAAAAAATATGTCTCAGTCCCAATCCCGTGATTTATAACTTTTTTTTTAATAGATAAATCTATTATCTATTATTACTTATTAAAAGACTCAAAGTGCTCCTTCTCAGAGTTAACCACTTGACAACCGTTCCTCTTCCTCCTTTTTTCCTTTTTTTTTCCTTCTTTACTTTTTTTAATCTTGTTAATCTTTTTCTTTTTAATATTTTGTGTGTTTTTTTAAATACTTTCTTTTTCTTATTTTCTTTTAATTAAAAAATCCTTCAAATATGTACCCACTCATTTTTTTATCAAAAACTCTTATATAACCTTAATTCTTTTTTTTTTTTCAGTTTTGAAAATTTCTCTTTTTCTCTTTTTTTCTTTTAACCTTTTTTCTATTTTTTCTTCCTTTCTTTTACTTATTGTTTTCTTTTCTCTTTTTTCCTTTTTCCCCTAGTATTATTTGACAGTTCATTTTTTTACCATATTTTTCTTTGAAGTACTTTTTCCCTCACTTTCTTTTAATTAAAATAATTACTTTCAAATGTCTCCCTACTTAAAATTCTTTTGATAAATAACTCTCATACAACTTCAATTCATTTTCGATTGATTTTTTTAAAATACTTTTTTCTTATCTTGCTCTAATTAATGGACTTGACTTGTAAGAATGTTACGTCTTTTGATGTGAGA